ATTGTTTTTTTTGGGGGGGGGGGGGGGTTCTACAGGTTTTATGAAGGTAACACAATGCATCAATACGTTCTCTAAATGTAAGTGTGTAGGTTAGTTTTAAACTTTAAAAGGATGCTTTGATATGTGATTAGAAACGACAAAAATACTGAGGGCTAAATTAAGTTAAATTAATATAGTTAAGAAAGTCATATACACCTAGGATGCCTTGGGGGTGAGTAAAACGCAGCCTAATTTTCATTTTTGGGCGAACTAACCCTTTAAGGCTTTTTAAGACCTGCAGGAACCCTGTTTTTTTTTTAAGTCCAAATTAATTTCCGTGCTAATTAGTACTGTATCGAACCCATAATATTCCTTTAATAAGATGATAACTGATGTGCACAACAACCTGTATACTCTGAATATTGATGGCAACCAAGTTGCTTTGGATCAGATAAAAGCCTCAAGAACAGCACTTTCACCTCATTATGTGAAAATAGAGACTTTAGGGATTTGAGATGATTGACCCAATAATTATCCAAATTCCCAAACTAAGCGTGTTCATGCTGGAATTACCATAATTACGAGACTGTCTGACTTGTAAAAAGTGTCCTCATTGAATTTGCAATTCCAATTTGTAAACTGAATTATTATTATTATTATTATTAATAATATTTGCATTATTTGCTATATTTTTGTCTATTCATTACTCAAATTTCACAGATTAATTTTGCTGGCAATAGTGTTGCCACAGAAGCACACAATTCCAAGTCTGAAGACATGAACAGATCGGAGTGCAAACATCCCAGACTGTAATCTAGTAATTACTGTAATTACATGGTGTGAATGCACCATAAGTCAAAGGACCCAAGACTGAGATTTGAGAAGGTCATTAATGCCAAGTTTCATATAGTTTTGTGGAAATTTAGCGAACAATTTTTGCTGATTTTTTGCAATTTTATTTTATTTTTTATAGTACAGGCCTCACGAGTGCTGTGTTTCCAATTGCTTCAAAGATTTTCCACTTTGGGATTTTCCATATTCAGCTCTACATGTTTACACATTCAATATTTTCAGCACATACCTACAATTTAAAAAAACAGTTCACCCAAAAATTAAAAAAACTTTCATACATTCTATGCTCATTATTCCAAACCCATATGCTGTTGTTTTTTTATGGAGACTTTCTGAAGAACCTTCACACAGCTGAAGCACTGAATAAGCTATTTCCAATACAACAACAGGGCCTCAAAAAATATCTCATTAGCCAATATGACTTGATTACATGTCTTCTTAAGGCATAAAATAGGTTTGTATGAGGAACTGACCAAAAAAGTCTGTAACATGGAATATGGCGCACAATCTGTATGGACTTCTTTTACGATCATTTTAGGATGCTTTTATGTTTTGTTTTTTTTGTCCATTTTGGACAGTCCAGATGACTATAAACTGTGGTTGTATATGCAAGAGATTCGTAACAATTCTTCAGACATTTAAACTTTTGTGTTCCACAACAGCACACAGGTCGCGCAACCCTCTACATTGCGAGTAGATCACTCGCATATGCGACTAAATCTTCACTCTGGGCGACTAAATGATGTCTAATATTAGCCAATTGCTAATACATTCTCAGATTTTATTCGCCAGTGTGTGAGTTGGAGGCTAAGTATAAGTGTAGCTCAGATATATTTTCACTCGCCGAACACTCTCTGACTGAGCGCTTCAGAGTTTCACTCTACGCCAAGCGATCTGTGCTGTTTTTCAGTTCATCTGAATGGATGCACAGCGCACCTGTATTTAACGTACCGTAAACTCTAGTGTGAAGGATAATAATAACCAACTCTTTATTACCTTTGTTACAACATTCAGTGTTATGGAAAAGAACCATAATGACAGAAATTCGCACATTTATAAACTGTAAGAAGTAAAAAGCTACAATTTGAGACCAGAAACGCATCACGTAACTGTAAGAGTAAATAATATTTATAATAATAATAACTATGCACCCCTTTTATGAATTAATCTTTTCTGTTTCTTATAGCAGTTTTGTATTGTTTGTGGTGTGATCAACATTTGCATAAGTAGTAGACGTGCTAGGGAAGTAACACGTAACATTTTAATTATATTTTGCTAAAATGATTATAAAACTGTGCCATTTTACATATATATTATCAGTCTGGCGAGTAAACTAAAAAAATGTACTAGCCAATGGCGATTCAATTGCCAAGGTGTCCGTAGAGGGCTGTCGCATGAGGGCTAATAAACAACAACAGAATTATCATCGGTTTTTTTGCTGCACTATCCCTTTAATTAAAATTTCATAACAGAATAACATCGGTCTGTGGCTTCTTCATCTACTTTGGTAAGAGTTCATGATTGAGTAAAAACATGTGTATGTTCAGAGGGTGAGAGAGGACAGAATGTTCAGTCCAATCTCAGCCCACAACATGACACTTAATCACACCCATCCATTATGTGATTCACAGAATGATGAAATCACTGGATTAATAAATCTAATAATGATCTATTACAAGTGTGCTCTGTCGCGAACCCATTTTAGGAGAAAGCCGCTGAGATTTGAGAAGTTTAAGAGTGCACAAAGGTGGACAGGTTGAGTCAAAGCACTGGGAACCAGCCCCGACCACACAACCCTGGAGATTAAGAAGAACCTGGACAAATCAGCATTACAAACTCCATCAAAAACCAGAAGCACAATGTGAACTACAGCAATGGCCAGTAAGATGTGATGAATCAGTCCATCGCCCTACAGCAAGAGGTTTAACATGCCAACACCGCACGCAAACAAACGCCTCGAGAGGTGGAGATGAACATGGAAAAATACAAATTTCATTCCCACAAATCATTGCTTTCTGAAACAGAATCTGTTTAAAAAACTAAAGTTATGGAACTTTTCTCAATGGGATTACTGATTCATAGGGTGTTAGAGAGCAATCCAAGAGGAAAAAAATAGCTCAGAGATTGCTCTTCCTAAGCTCAGGAGACTTAATTGTGATTCTCATATATCTCTCATTTTTCTATCAACAGCATTTCAGATGTTTCATCACGTTTAACATCACATGGAGACTTTTGCTTGAGTCTCCTTCTTCTCACACTTGTCTCCTGAGACAAAAACTCTAAGAGACAATGGTCTCTTTTAAAGTTTTAGAAGAGATCTCATCATCTTCACACACTTGCTCATATTTTTCTCCTTAACAACAGACCCTGGATCTCTCACATTTGTTTCTTTTAAAGCTTTAGAAGAGATCTCAAAAACATCACACACTGTGTTTAGATCTTTCTCCTTAGAGACACTGGTGGTCTCACATTTGTCTCCTCTAAAGTTTCAAACAAGATCTCAACAACATCACACACCATGCTTAAATATTTCTCCTAAAATAAAGACTCTTATGCAGTACACTTTAGGTACTAATATGTACTTATAGGCCTGGTTTCACAGTCAGAGCTTAGACTAAGCCAGGTTTAGCCCATGGTTCAATTAGGACTTTTAAGTATCTTTTATAAACGTTCCTTAGAAAAAAACATTACTGGTGTGCATCTTGAGACAAAACAATGGCACTGATATAAAATATGTTAAGTGCAAGTTTCTTTGAGTTAAAACAGCTCAGATATTTTGGTCTGGGACGAGGCTTAAGCCTGGTCTGTAAAACCGGGGGATAAAGTACTAATATGTACAATTAAGGAACCTATATAAACCATTTATTGGTAAATAAGCTACAAAGATGTACCTTTTAGCTTTTGTACCTTGTTTTTTTTTTTTTTTAGGGTGTATGTTAAAAATGGTTTGTTTGTTTCTGACACTTACCGCAGTGGGTAACTTCTTAGTAGCTTCCGTAATAACCTGACTCAAAGGCCTCCATAAGTGGAATGCATATCGACCTAAAAGCAAATGTAATAAAGGGAAAAAAAGGTTGAAAAGTGTGCCACTTGATAGCAAACCATTTACAGAGTTAATTTCCAGGATTAACAAAGTTGGTTTAAGGGTGAAACCAAGGTCAAAACCACATTTTAGTCTTATTCAATATGTGTTAAAGGTGAGGTCGCCTTTCAACTTCCCTTGGTATTTATTTGGTCAGGGTGCTGTGAACTGCCAGTGGTTGTGGTACGACTGAGAAGCAACACACTGCAAGTCAGCACTCAATTAAATGAACATATAATGCCTTCGAACATCCAGAATTCAATAAAGCAGCTGTGAAAGGCTGTTGAGCGGCTCATTTAACCCAACCAAACTTTAGGTGAAAAATCGTTAAAATAATTCATTATGGGAAAATTTTTGGATTTTCATTTCATCAAAAGGAAAACGTTATTTTGCTTTTCAGCAAAATAGCACTTGAGGCTCCCTCCACTGTAACCCAAAGCCCTGCCTCTGAGCTGAGCTGAGCAGACCACACACCGCCTCAGCTTTTGGCAGGAGCGCTGCCCCCTCGATGTACTGAAATGGGAATTAGCCCCCTTCCTCAAAGCGACCACAAGTGCTATTCCATCCTGACCTCACACAGCTATGGGTGGAAGACTTGGCGACTAACAATGATTAACTACCACGCAGCAGTAGGGAGGACAGGAGAGACACCTGCCAGAAAAGAATCAAATGTAAACGGGCCGATGACAAAGTCACTTAAATTATTTGGCCACATGCGGCCGTTTAAAGTCGCTTTGATTCCTTTAATGCTAGAGGCCACGTTGACCTCATTAACCAGACTGAGCTTCATCTGGGGGCTTGAACAAACACTCACAGTAAGAGCGGCTTAACCATCACCCTCATCAACATCGCCATCATCTTGAGTGCTTCCTTTAGAATCACATCATAAATATCTGTGGGCAGCTTTAACATACGGAAAGTTTAGCTAAATATTTTAAGAAGACAAAGGAGGAAAAAACTTTTATTACATTATACAATGGCTACTCTATTCCACTGTGAACCGCAACATGTGAGATTTTAGCTTACAAACATCCTGCCTAGAAACGTACTCTGAGCCAGAACGCAAACACGAACACTTCGCCAACACGGCGTTCCAAGAGTGCTGATATCTAGTTCAACAGCACTGGGATTTTTCGCCATTGATATCACTTTCCTTGTTTGTGTTTGCACTTTCTAGACAGACTGTCAGTCTGTGTATGAGTGGTAGGGAGTTGTCACTGATTCATTCACCTACTCATTCATTCAGGATCAAAACAAGTGATTGTCTTTATGAGTGAGTATTTAAATCATTCCCTCAACTGATTCATTCAAGCTAGGGCTGTCATTGTATGAATGCATTAATCTAAATAATTAGTTATGGAATAAAATAACACGTTAAAATTTTTAACACAGTTAGCACATCCACCCCACGTACGTCATCTTACATTTCATGAGGTGTGTTTGGTTTCAAGCGGCGCTGTGCAGATCGATCAGGAGACCAGAGGTCATTGTATGATTGGCTGAGGTGCCTCACGTGATCCAATTTAGCCGTTACAACCCTCTATATTGAGAGTAAATCACTTGCATATGCGACTAAATCTTCACTCTGGGCGACTAAATGATGTCTAATATTAGCCAACGGCTAATAAATTCTCAGATTTTACTCGTCAGTGTGTGAGTTAGAAACAGAGTTCCTTTGGAATTCTTCAGCTTTTAAGAACTGCCGGGTTTTCCTGTAGTAGACGGAACTAATGCGCAAACGACAATCTCATTGGCTGGCGCTCACCTATTATCTTCCCTGTTTTGATTTCAGCGAATCAGTTCGAGCAAACGCACACAACCTGATTAATATTCATGATTCAATATTCAATATTCACTCATTAATCCTTAGTACGTTTTAATATTGTTTTTATTAGTAGAATTCGTATAATAATAATAGTAATATCTTATCAGTGTTATTGTTCGGTTTTTTTTTACAGGAACACTGAATGACCAAAAAAAGCACCAGCACCAGTCCTAAGTTCATGGTTACCAAGTTTGAATTCTAATTACTAAACTTCTATTATTAAATAATACTTGATTATCATGTTATAATGCTTGACTGCTTGACTGACTGATATTAAGAGTGTACTTTCAGATACTTAAAAAGCTGTACCATTTTACAAACATTATATATGTTTGTAAAATGGCATAACTTATATATATTTTATATATA